CACGTCCCCTTCCACTGAGCCGCAGGAACTCCGCAGCAGAGCGCGTGTCACTTGGGTATTAGTGAACAACGTTTGCAATCAGCAGCAGCTGATCTGGTCCTCGGCTCTCTTACCAGATACTGAAGTCGCTGGCGTTCGGTCTCTGGAGTGAATTCTGAAGACATTGGAATGACTTCCCCGTTTCGGATTATTATAGCCCTGTAATTGTAATAAAGCCCCATCAGTTGTACAAAAAGAAAAAGAAAAGACAAAGAAAAGCAGCAGAAAACAATAGGGTACAGTCAGACATGCTCACTCTCTGCAGAGCCACAGTAAAATCAAGTCATTTCTTTTCTGCTGAAGTTATCAGTGGAACAGAATAACAATTCCTGTCCTGCATTCTTTAGGCTGGATAACAACACAGTATATTTGTATATGCCAAGTTCTTTTCAGAGCTCACAAAAACAGGGAAGCAACAAAGACAAGAGTTATTTCAGTTGCTGTCTGGAGGCTATCCTTATTGGTGAAATCCAGACACCCAGAGGAGATGCTGCAGAATCAGTGACTGGAGAACAACTCTTTCCAGGTTTTAATCCCACTTGTGGCTGACACTGTCTAAACTATGGCTTCAAATGACTCATGCGAGGCACTTGCCAGTTATTGACTGGTCATATGTCATGTCAGAACATCTCTAGTCTAACAGCAAGTAGAAATGGCAAAGCAAATCCTGTCTAACACAAACCTAACCAGATACCCACCAAAAGATTACTAGTAATGAAATGACTACAGATCAGCTAGAAGATTTCACATACATTTCTGCAAATGGCACAAAGAAAATTGTTTCAAACAACTGTCTATTGCATCCTAAAAATCTGCTACGTTGCATGCAAAATGTGGTCAGATTCTCCCCATGGTGCAATCCCACTGGCTGCAACATAGTTTCAAGGGAGAGGAATTTACTCAGTGTTCCTGCTGTATTTATTGTATTCACTCACAGAACTGTATTCTCTTACTTTCCTATTATTTATGCAGTCCTCTAAGTTTAACAACACTTGGTGCTTTAGCAGAGCTGCAGGAAGCATATACACTCGCACGAAGCATATACATTTTAATGCCTGATTTGGAGCTGTTACCTAGCTGTTTATGGATTGATTCACCACTTGGATACTAGCAGGGTACCAGCTCTTAGTTGAATTACCCCAGAATTTCGTTTAGACAAAACAAGTAACTGACAATTCCATTCGGATTTCTACAAATTTTAATTCTTCTCCTTCCTGTGATCTTCAGGTCCTGTTGCTGTGGTATGTCCATTCCAAATTTCTCCTGATAATTTGATCAATTTGCTGGCCAGGTATTCTTATAGCACTGAAATGCAACCAAGAGGTATTGCAGACACATGAACATCAAAAATCCTCGTACAAGCCAGCTTTGCAAAATCAGTGGCACTGTGCATCTTCAAACGCTTAACTTTGAGTGTTCCGGATACACCACCGGAGTAAAAAACTCTCCAAACCATCACAAGCACTGCTAGCAGGCACATGGAGGGAGCACTACTGAAGAGGAAAGCAGCTGTCCACATTTCTAAGGTTTGTGTGGCAAAAAACGGACAGGTACAAAACCGAGCTGCCCTGGGCGAGGGCGATAAAGGTCTGGTAAGGGGAGAAAACAGTTCTTCTCTGACAGATAGTTACGTTTGCCCCTTTTGGGCTTCAGCACTTGTTTGTAGATGATCCAGTGTAGTGAATAGAGGAGACTCCCACTGGCCCCTTCCCCTGCTCCAAATATGGACTATTTCCCATGCGCGAAACAAGGCAGATAGGGTGGTTTTAACACTTAAATTTCCTGAGACAAATTTGTGCAGATTTTTTTTTTCACTCTTTAGTAGATCTGAATATAGCACAGATATATAGATATGCCAGTCTGATACAAAAATAATAAAGAGTTGCTGAAAACTGGTCTTCAGCATTAACAACACAGTTGGATGCTAGATCATCAGTGCTGATGCTCAAGTCATTTGAAGACAAATTAAGAACCTAATCACCTATTTTTTTTTTCCTTTCTTTCTTTTCAGCTTTGAGCTACAGCCATTTACTCAAAGACTCCGACCAGGTTTTACAGCCTTCTCATGTGGGATCTGACTCACTCAAGTAAGCCTTGGCTCTGCGCGGGTTGAGCGCAGAGACTAGTAAGGCTGACAAAAGTCTCAAGGGTGCTGATCAAACTATGACCAAATTGCCACATGTTGGTTTAAGATGGGTGTAAGGAGCCTACTGATCCTACTGAATGAGCTTGTACAAAAGAATCCACTGATGGAACTGCCAGTGTCAGACTGATTGTTTAATTCTTCTTTGCCTCCCCCCTAATCACCTTTTCATGGGAACTCTGCACTTCAAGGAGCACCCGCACAAGCATGGGATCCCGCTTTGGCTTTGAGCACGCTGACATGCTCCTCTCCATGCTGATCGCTATCATTCTCACTCCTATGGTTAGAATTGGGCCTCGAGGGACTAACATCTTATAAAAAGCAACTTTTCATGGCTTAACTTATTTTCACTAGAAATTGCATCCACCTGGGATGAAGAGTACAACCGGCACAGAAACCTTTTTGTAGGGGAGGCAGCTTTAAAGCAATGATGTTAGTACCTGATAAAACAGAGCCTCAGTTTTATGCTTTTTTATTATTGCTTCCAGGGGCTGGACTATATTTAGCTTGCAAGCTACAACTGCTCATAAGAGTCAAATGGTTTGATCTGAGGAATTAGACAGCCCTAGAGCTTGGCAGGCAGGGAGGGCGCCATCTCTGCACAGGTTGCCACTCTGTGTCATTACCCCCATATCAGCCTCTCGTAGTTATTAGCGAAATAAATATCAGCCCTTTATGCAACTGACGATGGCAGGAGCGTCGCTGCTCCCGCACTCCGAGCGCGCCCGGCTCCGCGCGCAAACACCCGCGGGTTACTCCACACGAGAACAGGGCCGTGCTGCTGAACGGCCAGGAAGCCGAGAGATG